GGAAGGTGAATGGATGGGGAAAGGGAGGGGGAGGGAAGGGGAGAGGGAATGGAGAGGGAGAGAGGTGAATGGATGGGGAAGGGAAGGGGAGGGAGAAGAAGATGAATGGATGGGGAAGGGGAGGGGAGGAGAGGAGAGGGAGGGGGAGGTGAAAAGATGGGAAGAGAAGGAGAGGGGAGGCGAGGGGGAAAGAAGAGAAGGGGAGGAAGAGATAAAGAGAGGTGAATGGATGGGGGAAAGGAAGGGGAGGGAAGAGGAGGGGGAGGGAAGAGAGGGAGGGGAATGGACGGGAAAGGGAAGGGGGCACTGTTTCTAAAAAAATATATAATCCTCCTTTAAAAAAAAAATAGACACTCATTGGGAAAGTGTTGGATAGGTATTTTCCATGTCCAGCTGAGAAGTTCCAATCTCTCTAACTCTGGACAATTCCTGCAGTTTCCCCCCCCCCCCAGCTCCCGTTGTTATCTTACGGGCAATGCTAACTTTCTCAGCCCTCTTCCTCTGTAGCCGAAACACGTCAGGACAATGAGCTCTGATCTGTCAGCCAAGATCAGTGGTTCTCAACCTTTTTAATGCCGCGACCCCAACCGGTCGTAAGTCGAGGACTAAACCGGTTGTAAGTCGAGGACTAAACCGGTCGTAAGTCGAGGACTACCCAACCGGTCGTAAGTCGAGGACTTTCCCTGCCCGGGAGCGCCGTGCATGCGTGGTTCTGCCCCCTGCGCCGGCTGAGGCGTAGCTGGCAAGCGGCAGAGACGGAGCAGTCCAACCACCAGCTGGCCCAGCCCAAGGGAGGTAAGGCACCTGCCGGAAAAGGGGAAAAAAATGGCGGACAAAAAAAATGGCGGACAGCCTTGCTTGGTGACCCCCGTGAAATGGTCGATCGACCCCAAATGGGGTCCCTACCCACAGGTTGAGAACCACTGGCCAAGATGGAACAGCTCAGTGAACTGTTAAAAGCCAAGTAACACTTTATACCCTGCCTGGGAAGAAAGTCTTCTCTTCAATCTAGCACCGAAGTGACATTTTTTTTAAAAAAAAAAACCCCAACAAACTCCTTTTCATGCCTCCATGAGAGTCTTCAGCTTAAGCCTTGCCAGCTCAGCAGCCACTACTGAGTTGATCGGATGTCACACGGACTGAATGAATGAAGACCGTCCAAAATGGCTCCATTGACAGGGCGGGTGGGGGAGACCACCCTTGAGAGACCCAAGGACCACAGGAGAATGAATGAGGGATGACGTTGCCATCTCTATTTTTTCTCTCCTTCCCAAAGCTGGAGGGGTGTGGAGACCCCGGAAGCTTTGTGCCTTTCTAGAAAGTATTGGAAAGACACAGCGTGGTGCAAGAAACTGGACTTAAGATAGCACACATTCTGGCAGAGAGAAGCATTGGATCCTGGGTCTATCTGCTTGTTTGTGTGAGTGTCTGTGTGTGCATATAATAATAATAATAATAATAATAATAATAATAATAATAATAATAATAATAATAATAATAATAATAATGATGATGATGATGATGATGATTATGATTATGATGATGATAAAGTTGGAAGGGACCTTGGAGGTCATCTAGTCCAACCCCCTGCTCAGGCAGGAAACCCTATACCATTTCGGACAAATGGCTGTCCAGTCTCTTCTTAAAAACTTCCAGTGTTGGAGCATTCACCGCTTCTGGAGGCTGGTTGTTCCACTGGTTAATTGTTCTAACTGTCAGGAAGTTTCTCCTTAGTTCTAAGTTGCTTCTCTCCTTGATGAGTTTCCATCCGTTGCTTCTTGTCCTGCCTTCAGGCGCTCTGGAGAATAGCTTGACTCCCTCTTCTTTGGGGCAGCCCCTGAGATATTGGAACACTGCTATCATGTCCCCCCTCGTCCTTCTCTTCGTTAAACTAGACAGACCCAATTTCAGCAACCGTTCCTTATGTTTTAGCCTCCAGTCCCCTAATCATCTTTGTTGCTCTGTGTGTGTGTGTGTTTGTGAGCACAGACCAGTTTTTTCCCAATGGCAAGGAAGGATGACCTTAAGCGTTCAGATCTAGGTACAAGGACACGAATGCAGGAGCAGAATGCCGATTAAGAGGTGACAATCTGTGTTTATTGATTGCTTTGTTCGATATGGCATCATCCGATTCCAGAATGGAATACGCTGGGCACAACAGAACAAACGGAATAAAATACATATAAATCATATGAACGGGAAAGAGTTAAGGAGGAACAGGGGGAAAAAAACAAGTTAAAAAAGAAAAAACATGAAAAAAAACCCAGCCTTTGGTTACGGCCGCGCGAGCTACTTTGCAGCACACAAAATAAACTCTAAAGCCCAACGAAGGAATGGTTGGCTCTAGATCCGGTTTAGATTTAGACCTTTGGATGGGAAGAGCAGGTCTAGCTCTACCCTTTGATTAGGAAGCGCCCCCTTGGGGGGTCTGTCTTCAGAAAGCTTTCATAATCCTCGACTTACAACATTTCGTTTAGTGACGAAGTTACAACGCACTGAAGAAAGTGACCGGTGACCATTTGTCACGGTCACCACCTTTGCGGCCTCCTCAGGGTCACCTGATCAAAGTTCAGGCCGCTTGGCAACTGGTTCATATTTATGACGGTCGCATTGTCCCGGGGTCACTTTTGTGACTTCTGATAAACAAAGTCAGTGGGGAAGCCAGATTCAATTAACAACATATAATTAATTGATGGGCTGGCTCGGAGGTAGGCAACCTGGGCTCTTTTGACTGGTGGACTTCAACTCCCAGAATTCCTGAGCCAGCCGTGCTGAGGGGAAAGGGAGAGGTTTCCAAGCTGAGCCATGCCGGCTCAGGAATTCTGGGAGTTGAAGTCCACGAGTCATGAAGGGACCATAGTTCCCCCATGCTGGCTCAGGAATTCTGGGAGTTGAAGTCCACAAGTCATGAAGGGGCCAAAGTTTCCCCATGCTGGCTCAGGAATTCTGGGAGTTGAAGTCCACGAGTCATGAAGGGACCATAGTTCCCCCATGCTGGCTCAGGAATTCTGGGAGTTGAAGTCCACGAGTCATAAAAGAGCCAAGGTTGCCTACCCTGGTGCTGGCTTAAAACCAGTTTTTAAAAAACACCAACTATCCAGATGCACAATTTGCTGTGAATTCTAGTCTTCATCAAGGAAAGTTTGAAGATAATAAATAGCTAGATGATGTAAGAATCTTTTAGGAGTGTTACTCCTGGCCTGGACACCAACATGACTTTTACAAGCAGGGAAATCCTATTTCCCAACCTGAGGTCAACCTACTTTACTTAGATTCAACACACGTGGAGGGCATTAAATTAGCCAAAATAGTCCTTGCTTAAAAAAAAAAAGAAAAAAAAAGGACCCCAATCATTAGTCTCCAGTCCCTTCGCGCCCACAAGAGATTCCACCTTGAATTCCATTGACTTTTATCTACCACCAATTTGCCTTGACTGTTAGTAGGTCAGATTCTTGTAGAGCACACAAGCTTGCAATAAACCTCGATATGCATTTGAACTGCCTGGATTCCTTATTTCCTGCATTTGACAATTGTTGAAGGTGCCTTTTTAAAAAAAAAAAAAAATCTCCCTTCACCTAAGGTTTGCGTTTTTGGATTTTGACAATATTTATTACTATGGTTTTTATATTTGCATTTCTGGGTTTTTTTTTTTTTTTTAATTGTTGTACGCCCCCAGAGCTGCCTTCGGTGAGAGGGGCAGCTGTGTAAAGTTGACTAATAAATAAATACATACAATAAACACGGAGAAGGAAGGAAGGGCTTCCTCACACGGGCTAAAGTGCTGATGCAGCTTATCTTGTTTCTGGCCCCTCCGGCTGGTTATTGCAATAGAAAAATCCTCCACAGGACACAGGAGAAACATGTCAGATGCTGGGTCTAGGTTCCCCCAAGTTCTGCAAGAATTCAGAGCCCAACTGGGCTCCATACACCAGGATCCTGCTACTAATAATAGACAGTACCTGCTCCCCCTTTCACTTCTTTCCAACGGGGGAACAGTCAAAGATGGGTGTTACTGAAGTTCCTAGAATTCCAGTACTCTCTGGAGCAGCGGTTTCTCAACCTTGACAAGTTTGAGACGGGTGGACTTCAACTCCCAGAATTCCCCAGCCAGCATGCTTACTAGAGGTCACTGTAAGCGATAAGCAATCGAGTGGAATACAAGAAGATAAGCAAGACATTAAAAACCTGAGGGTCTATTTCTGAACCCTGCAGCCATTCAGTCTTTAAAGAATTGGTTATTTGTGACTTTCCCCTAGAATAACGGTCCTCAACCTTTCTGGCTTGGCGGACTGGCGGGGGGGAAGAGGGGACGGTTCCTTGTGAGTGGCAGGAGTGTATGTGAGTACGAACCATCCATTTGTGCAAGCAGCAGGCAGTGGAGTTACGGCTGGGAGTTGGGGACCCCTGCCCTAACAGTTATTGCAAAGACCAAGTTTTTTGTCCAAGCGTTGACGTCCAAGCCTGGCACAACAATGGCTCCCTAACGAAGTGTTTCTCGACCTGGCTGGCTGGGGAATTCTGGGAGTTGAAGTCCGCCCGTCTTCAACTTGCCGAGGTTGAGAAACACGCCAACCACACCTTCACGGAAGGAGCTGCAGAAAACGGCAGGTTAGTGCAGGGCAGGTAGAGGCGCTTGAGAAACAGAACTGTGCGCTGGATACCACGCAGGGCGACTGTGTGTGTGTGTGTGTGTGTGTGTGTGTGCGTGTGTGTGCGTGTGCCTTGCAGAATCACCACAGGCCCCCCGAACCCTTGAAAGCACAGCTGGCGATTCCGTACCCCGATGTTTCCAGAGAAGCAGTTCTAAGGGCAGGTTAAATCAGATGATGAGATGAAAAAAAGGACAGCTGGTGGTGGTGGTGGCAACAGCCGAATGAGGAATTTGCTGTCTCTGTAGAAACTTCCTACCCTCCAGTTCTTGACAACGGAAGTCAAAAAGAAGGTACGATGGGCAAGAACTGCTTCCAACCCGGCTGAGCTGCCCAAGGTGGTGGTCTTAGGGCTCTCTGGAGCTTCTCTCGGTCGTCCCCATCAGTCTTGCTTCTCCTCCTTGTGCTTCCAAGGGTAAATGAGTTCTCCCACAAACAGCTTCTTGCACAGAGACGCCCAGGAGTCTTTGGGGTAGCAACTATAGGTTGGAAGCCTATAGAGCTGCACCACGCGGCCGTAAGGGAGAGGGTTGATCTGGCAGGTTGAGAAGACGTAGGAAAAGACATTCACGGTGAGTAAATCAGGAGCAGGCAAAAATGGTGTACAGGCAGTCCTCGACTTACAAACAGCCCATTCAGTGACCGTTCCCCGTTACAACGGCACTGAAAAAAAAGTGACTTATGACCGTTTTTTACACCTACGACTCTTTTGCAGCATCTCCACAGCCATGTGATCAAAATTCAGATACTTAGCAACGACTCGTATTTATGACATGGTTGCCGTGCCCCTTTTGCGACTTTCTGACGAGCAAAATCGACGGGGAAGCCAGATTCGCTTAACAACCATGTTACTCACTTCACAACCGCAGGGAGTCGTTTAAACCAGAGGTCCCCGACCTTTTGGGCACCAGGGACCAGTTCCGTGGACAGAGGATTTTCCGTGGACCGGAGGGTGCGTGGTTTTGTGTGCTGCCTGCATCCCGTGGATGGGGCTTTGCTTGTTTGTGCGGACCGGTTGCTGGCATGCCACGGACCGGTACTGGCCCACGGACTGGGGGTTGGGGACCCTTGGTTTAAACCACCTGGGTGGAGAAAGGCCGTAAAATGGGGCAAAATTTCACTTAACCGATGAAGTGAATTTAGCGGCGGAAATTTTGGGCTGAACTGTGGTCCGTAAGTCGGGGATTACCTGTACAACAAAAATCACAATGCAGCTTGTGTGGCTTGATCAAGAGGCGTGATTGTGGTTATGGCCTTTCCTATATAAAGAGGGTCTAACTTTGAGAACCGGCTCCCAAGCCAGCCTTTAAATCAAGATATTTCTGAACAGTTTGATGATTCATCTTCCCACTCTTAGAAAACGAAGCCCAATTGACGTAACAGTACCAAAACGCACAAATAAAAATAGTAACTCAAGTTAACCTTGTGTTATAACTGCGCAAGGAAGAAAGTCTGTGTGTGTCAGCGATAAAGAGTGTGATTTTTATAGAAGGACTTTACTAAAAGCAGCCCAGAGAGGCTTCCTTTGAGGACATGGCACTCAGCAGATTAATATCGCTACACAACCGAAATGTTTACTGTTTGCAGTTCTATTAGGGGACCCCCCCCCCCTTACAATATGGTATATTTTCTGGCCCCGATCCAGCAAACCACTTCCATATAAGCTTGGCTCAGCATTTGAGAATTGGGCTGTACTCAAATTGAACGCATTCCAAAAATAATGCAGCCGGACCTGTTTCTTCTGGCCTCTCCCAAGCGCGTGGAACCTAATAATTTATCCAAAGAAGTGGCTTTCAGATGGCAGGCTGGTCAAACTGCACAGAAGTCTGGAAATAGCTTCCCGTGCAATTTCACAGAAAGCCACTTGATCCGATAAAATATCTCCTTGTTCTTTCTGATTAATCTGGCAATTGGCCTGACAGTGAAACGTTTGAGCACGTGTAGCTTCTTTTTAAAGATGTCAGGTTTGAAAGCCAATTGCCTGTTTTGTACATTTATTTTCCAGTTGGTTTCCAATCAGAAACAAAAAAAGGTGGGAAGTTTTTCAAGGAAATATCCGTTCAACTGGACAGGGCCACCTACCGGGTAGACATCCTTGTTAATATGGTGCCCTCGATGTATAACAGGTAAGAGGAGAAATATCTGTATTGGCTTCAGTAACACGTGCTACTGTTTTACTAAATACTATACAATCTATTGATACAATATCTTGAGGTTGAGGCAGTGCTTCTCAACCTTGGCAACTTTAAGTAAGGTGTGGACTTCAACTCCCAGAATTCCCCACAACTGCTGGCTCCTTGCTTCTACCTAACGGTCAGGCAAATTCTTACAGTCCAATTGTGATAGCCCTACTTAATGGAAACAACACAGCAGTCCTTCCATGATTATCCCATTAAGCCCCAGAAGGATAGCAATAGCAGTAGCACTTAGACTTATATATCGCTTTACACTGCTTTTACAGCCCTCTCTCAGCGGTTTACAGAGTCAGCATATTGCCCCACCAACAATCTGGGTCCTCATTTTACCGACCTCAGAAGGATGGAAGGCTGAGTCAAACTTGAACCGGTCAGGGTCGAATTGCTGGCAGTCGGCAGAATTTAGCCTGCAATACTGCATTTTAACCACTGCGCCATCACGGCTCATATTACTAGGATACTAGTCATAGTAAATGAAGTGTGAGTGCGTGTTGATGGTAGGAGAGAGTTGCAAGGTATTCTGAATATGACCACCTTCTCCAAAGAATCCAAGAAAAAGTACAAGGATTTACCTGCATTAGAAGTCGAAGAGGTTTGCCAGCTTCTTGCTCTAGGACTCTGAATTTGACACCAGCTGAAAACACACAAAATAAAAGCAGGGGTGGGAAGGAACAGGCTTTATTGACTGACCACTGCGATGAGCTGGAGGAATTTTGTAAAAGGAGCCCTGAAGGCCAAATTTGGATTTTAAAAAGACAGAACAACTTGGGAGATAAAACGCTAGCTTTCCCACAGGAAGTTTAAAGGCATCCAGGTTTGTTTATATCCCAAATGCTGGTTATAGGTCACCTGATCATCAGCGAAACTCAACCTACAGATAGTCCTTGAGTTATGACCACAATTGAGCTCCAAATTTCCATCGCCAACTGCAGCAAGAAAGGTTGTAAACTCTCTTAACAACTTGATAACTGTCTTGCTTAGCAACGGAAAATTTGGGTTTAATTGTGGCTGTAAGCCGAGGACTGCCTACAGTGAGTTGGAATTTACAGGACTTACCTGTCAGCCGGTAGCAAGTTAATTCTCTGTCCAATTTAGCGTGTATATATATATATTTATGTGCCGCTGATTCCTGATTTTAAGCGTGCATGACCAACATAAACAGGACTCTGGGCAAAATGTTCCACCCCACAATTTACTTGTTACCACAACAATATGGTTTGTAGAGCTTACAGGCGAGTCTGTAGCCTCGGCAGAGTCGAAGAAAAATGGCGTAAAGGGGCAGTGAGTTGATGAAGTCGATCAGTAGGTGGATAACGCCTTGCACAAGAACCACCAGGAGACGAAGCTAAGAAGAAAGATTTGTTTCCGTTAGAGGATTTTAGTGGCAGCGTCCGTTGGCCAGCACTTGGCAAGTTCGACAGCCAGGCAACGGTATAAAAGTTTCCATCTGTTCTGTACTTCTTCTACCATGTCTAGATTGTACTTTAAACTGGCACCTTCTTGGCTTTGCTGTTGGCCAAAAATTGTCGGCACATGTTTCTGGTTGTAGCCGACATATCACCAGATGGGCCGGGCTCTATGTCTGTCCACATTCACACAGCATGTTGCTATCCGCTAAGAGCCTCCACTTGCGCATATTGGGTTTTACATTTAGGCCCTCCAACTCTCAACCTATTCAAGGTCATCCAAGTAGTATAAGGGAGGTCAGATCCTTCAGCCGTAGTTCTCTACTGCTGATCTAGGTTGCTACTTATCAGCCAGAGTTTTCTCTCCCACCCTTAAATTTTGCCTCCTCTCATCCAAATAGATGCCTTCGGGAAGGATGAGTGAGTTAGGGACTGGAATCTGTTTGCAGCCAAACATCAGCTCAACACTACTGGGCAATACTAGATTTGAAACCAGGGGATGTCTAAGAAGATTGCGCAACAATTTTGAAAGAACAAAAAAGGTCTTTTTGTGGGCACACGATGGACATAAAGCACGTGTCTGCAAGTCCTTAAATCGAATCCAATTTTTCCTGGGGTGCAGAGGCCGGTTAGACAAGCCTAGAAAAAGATGCAATTTCTAAAAGGAGATGCTCCAAAGCATCATTTGGGCTTTGAATTCAAGGCCCGTCATGCCTCTGTGTCAATCACCTGAACTGGCTATTTAATTCCGTTGATGTTATCTTGCTTTTAACAACCCTTCCCAACTTTTTACGTTGCTTTGAACACAAACCGTCTTAGTGGGGCATTGATTCCAGAAAAAGCAGACTCACCAGAGTAAACACCAAGTAGTACAATGCAGTTGTGGGCAGCAGAAATAGCAAGATGGTGAAGAGCAAAGTGCCAATGAATAGCTAGAGAAGGAGAAAAGACAAGTAAAATGATCAGAGATTAACAATGAACAGTAATTTTAGAAATGGTGGTAATAGAAATTTACCCACCTGAGTCACATAAAAAAACCTAATATTTCTTCATCAATCTTAATTTTGACATGGGTCTGTTTTAATATGATCTAGATTTAATAACATGTTAAAGGGCTCAGATTCCTTGACTGTAATATTATTCATTGAGACTAACAGATCTTTTTTCTCTTTGTTGATCTCTGTTCTCTTCTGTTGTCATTATTCCTTTTGATTGTATGTATGCATTCAAATTTGTTGGCTGCCCAACTCCAGGTTTATCACTGTGTTTTGTAATATGTTTTTTTTTACTGTTTAATTTGACCAGTTTTGTCCAGAGATTCTTTGAGATTTTGCCCTCCCTCCTTTTCTTTCAGGAAACTTCACGGAGACGGCCGCCTAGCTGCTGATCAGGCCGTTGCCTTGACGTCTTAAGGCGAGGTGGGAAAAAAAAGCAAAGACTTTTGTCACAAAGAAATGCCACACACACACACCACCACCATCCTGTGGGAAATGTGTGGGCCCAACTCCCTTCCAAAATCCCATGAAATGGAGGGGGGGGGAGAGAGAGACTTTTAATAGAAACACAAATTAGCAGGTAACTATGACAACGCTGCTGGGTATGGCTGTAATTATTTTGGTGTTGCTTCCTTCCCTGCCGCCAGCCCATTATCACCCCCGGGCTTTGACTTGTGTAGCACGGGGCACCTGCTGCAAGGGGGTCTCTGAAGACTAAGCCCCCTTCCGCTATAATTGTCTGAAAACGGGCCAGGAGAGAACAGTGACGTTCAGGGCCTGAACTGGCACATTCCCGACATTCACAAGGCTTAAGATAGTAACAGTAATAAAGTTGGAAGGGACCTTGGAGGTCATCGAGTCCAGCCCCCTGCTTAGGCAGGAAACCCTATACCAGTGGTGGCAAACCTATGGCACAGGTGCCAGAGGCGGCACTCAGAGCCCTCTCTGTGGGCACGCGCGCTGTCGCCCCAGTCCTAGGCCTTCAGCTGGGTTTTATAAAACCTTTTCGCTTTAGGCCTCCACCGCCATGTGCAAAAAAAAAAAAGGTTCAATCATTAGTCAATTTCAACTTCTCGCGGAAAAAAAAAGATCTTGCAAAGTTGGAATTGATTGATTGAACTTTTTAGTCCCACCCAGTCTGCTGTTACCACCACAGCCACGCCCACCCAATGGGCCACACCCAGCCAATGGGCCACACCCACCCGGCACCCGACGATGCATAAGTGGGTTTTGGGTTGCAGTTTGGGCACTCGGTCTCTAAAAGGTTCGCCATCACTGTCCTACACCATTTCGGACAAATGGCTGTCCAGTCTCTTCTTAAAAACCTCCAGTGTTGGAGCATTCACCACTTCTGGAGGCAGGTTGTTCCACTGGTTAATTGTTCTCACTGTCAGGAAGTTTCTCCTTAGTTCTAGGTTGCTTCTCTCCTTGGTTAGTTTCCATCCGTTGCTTCTTCTCCTGCCTTCAGGCGCTTTGGAGAATAGCTTGACTCCCTCTTCTTTGGGGCAGCCCCTGAGATACTGGAACGCTGCTATCATGTCCCCTCTTGTAAGCGAGGCATTCATTAAGTGGCTTTCGTCCCCACCATACACCCTTTCTTGCCGAAGTTGTGAAATGAATCACTGCAGTTGTAAAATTAGGAACACCGTCGTTACGTGAACCTGCCCCCCACACTCCCCACTGACTTCGCCTGTCAGGAGGTCGCAAAAGGCGATCTCCGTGATCCCGGGAGACTGTAAACGCCATAAATATGAACCAGTTGCCGGGGCCTGAACTTTAAACCACGTGAACAGGGGTTGTAAGTGTGGGAAAAACCGTCACTTTTTTTCAGTTGTAACTTTGAACGATCACTAAGTGAACTGTTGTAAGTCGAGGACCGCCTACGCAGAGATTGTAATTGTGGCTGGTTTTTTTTTATCCCCCCGAATGCATCCATAACTCTGCAGATTCACGGTTATTGCTGGGAATAAAACCAAATGAAAGCCTTTCCCCAAAGCACCCGGAGGTGTGTCGGTGAACACCCCATTTGCTACCGCTCTGCCAGTGTCCCCAGAGAACGTCTCTACCTGGTCCAGGTCGTAGGAGCAGGAATCTACACGCTGTCTCAAGACATTCCATTTCTTCCCTCGGAACAAGCGCCACAGAGAGGACAGGCCGTAAATCTTGAAGCAGTACAGCCTAAGTCCAGAGAAGGAAAACAGAAAGTCAGGACTGCCCCAGAAATAAAAACCCAGGCTTCTAATTCAGACTCGGTTCTAGGGGGGGTCCGTTCAGACAACAAGGGCGGTGTCAGGGACAAGCAACCAGAACATCCATCAGAATGGGTCAAATAGGTTTCTTTATTGTAGACCAGAGACCCCCGATCTTTTGGGCATCAGGGACCGGTTCCGTGGAGAGGGGTTTTTCCATGGACCGGAGGGTGTGTGTGTGTGTGTGTGTGTGTGTGTTGTTTTGTGTGCTGCCTGCATCCTGCGGAAGGGGCTTTGTCTATGCGGACCGGTTGCTGGCATGCCGTGGACCGGGACCGGTCCACGGACCTGGGGGTTGGGGACCTCTGTTGTAGATGATCGGTTTACGGGTCTTCTGCTTGAGCAGGGGGTTGGACTAGAAGACCTCCAAGGTCCCTCCCAACTCTGTAATAATTCTGTTATTCTGAACGCTGCGAACACCATACAGGTGAGGCAGTTATCAAGTGTTCAACATGCAGTCATGTGGCCAGCGCCGCTGCTGGAACTCCAGAATTGGGACGTAAGTATCTTTTGAGGGGATCTGTTGTAGCCCCCAGATGCTGGCTGCAGAATTTAGGGGACGCTCTGGATGCTGCCACATGGGTGATCAGGGTTAGGATCGCCCACCCTTGTAAGAGGTGGCTGGGGGGGCCAGTATTTTCAAGAGGATAGGAATGTTTGGCTCAGGGACCCAGCCACACTCTGAATAGGATCGCAACAAGCTTTCTTACACATATATACGGAAAATGGGGAAATTGTGTGGGTTGGCTGCTGGACTTAGCGAGGGTAATACGAGATCCTGAGGTCAGGGCAATGGGGAAAAAGGCAGTCTGAGAACTGAGAAAATTCCCACGTGTAAAAGTGGCCGGAGAATGCGATTCCCGTGACTTCCTACGATTTCCCAAAGAGAGGGTTCGGGTTTTATTTTGGTTTTTGCTACTTAAAAAGAACAAAAAAAAGTCTTTTCAAGTGGAAATCAACCCATAGAGCGGGGTTTGCTAATGAAGGGATGGGGAATGGAATGCACTGGCAACTTTGAGCTTGTTTCTTTTTTTGCTATTTTTGTATTTTGGTGAGCACAAGCCTGCTGGAGGCCCTCAATATTTGGGAGAACATTTTAAATTCTGCTAGAAGGCATCTAGGAAATATGTCATCTGGATCTGGTTTTGTTTTGTGTGTTTGCTTTGGATTGATCAATAAGTTACAAATGCTATCTTTAATCTGTGTACTACCCTCCTCACTCATTATCTGCCTGCCCAGCTCCCTTCATTTGTTTCTGACCTGCTTTCCATAATAAGAAATTGTGGGGTTTTTTTTTTCAATCTCTTATGATTTATTTTGTGCAAGTTTGTTTGAGTTTTTGGAGCTATCCTTTCAGGAACATATTTTTTTTTAAAGGAAACCAGGTTTTGGTTCCTTTCTCTAACATTTACGTCCAAAATACCATTTTCTAGATCGGAAGTCAAATGGTTCAATCAAACTGAAACTATTAATAACACAATAACAGAGTTGGAAGGGATCTTGGGGTCCAAACCCTTGCTCGGGCAGGAAATCTTACACCATTTCAAGGCAAATGGTTGCCCAATCCCTTCTTAATTCTATTTTTAATAGAATTAACATTAATAGAGTCCTTAATTCTACTGAATTAAGGCACAGGAGAGAAGGAGCAGAAGGAGCTGTAATCCATCTGAGAAACATCAATTTATTTATTTATTTATTTATTTATTGAATTTATATACCGCCCTATCTCCCTTACGGGACTCAGGGCGGTGAACAGGCGATAATAAAAACCATGATAAATATAGGCAGTTCTAAAATCAAATTAAATAACGGGCCTGTTCTAAAAACACACCCATACAAAAACCCCCACTAAAACATAATCAAACTACGTCAGGCTGGCCGCACAGAATAGATGGGCCTTCATTGATGAGATGCAGGCCGATGTCTTGTTTTTGTCCACAGTTACAAAACACAATTAATTCCCCCATTTAATAAAAGATAAGCAGAAGGTGAGGAGAACTTCTTGAACAGAATAAGAGAGTTGGAAGGGACCTTGGAGGTCTTCTACTCCAACTCCTTGCCCAAGCAGGAAAACCTATAGCATTCCAGACAAATGGTTGTCCAATCTCTTCTTAAAAACCTCCAGTGATGGAGCACCCACAACTTCTGGAGGCAAGCCGTTCCACTGTTTTGTTTGCCTGGTAACCCAGTGAACTAGCACACCCACCTGGCTCCATAGACATAAAAACAGTAGATGTGGAAGGTCAGGAGTGCAATGATGTCGGAGAGGATGGAAAGGGCCACGGTCAAGCCAAGGCAAGCTGACAAGCCAACATACCACAAGATCTTCTCAATGAATGGAGACATCAGATGGATGTAGCCTGGACAAGGAAACAGCAGCACTTAAAAACAGCAACCATCTCTCATCAATGAGAATTATCAGAAAAAACAGAACAGAACAATAGAGTTGGAAGGGGCTTTGGAGGTCTTCTAGTCCAACTCCTGCTCAAGCAGGAGACCCTCTACCATTCCAGACATATGGCTCTCCAGTCTATTCTAAAAAGCCTCCAGTGATGGAGCACTCACAACTTCTGGAGGCAAGCCATTCCACTGCCTAATTGTTCTCACCGTCAGGACATTTCTCCTTAGTCCTAGGTTGGTTCTCTCCTTGATTGGTTTCCATCCACTGCTTCTTGTTCAGCCTTCTGGTGCTTTGGAAAAATAGGTTCGTGGCAGCCCCTCAACCTGCAATTGTTCTTGCAAATAGTCCCCAAACTGTCTATCCCCACCAACATAAAGATCAAATCTCTTACAAAACAATAGTGGAAATGATGCCCATAAAGATTGTAGCTTGTTGAGAAACACGTGAAATCTGCTATCTGAATAAATCCTTTGCCTGCCTGTCAAGAACAAGTTGTTCAGGTGTTGTGACAGGTTGCCTACTGCAAGCCCTAAACAGGAAGCTAAAACCTAGAAATGTTGGGTGCATCGTGCCAAGGTAAGAGTCAATGGAGACGATCCCAATGCTTAGAAAAATCAAATGGAAAAAGAGACGGAGAGAAAAGATGGTTAGATACCACCACTGATGACCCAAGTCTGAGCCTATAACACTGTAAAGGAACAGTCATACAAACCTGATGAAACAACGGCCATCAAAAGTTTGGAATTACCCAACAATGACAAGAATAAATAAAACAGAGCCTAAAATGACGCCTTTGTATCTCACCAACAGTCCAAAGAACAAACAAGCATGAACTCTGTAAGAGCATAGAGTGTGCTTGTTGGGTATCAAAGACAGTTGTCATACCAATGTAGACAAGAATGGGACACACGACTCTAAGGTGTCATGTCCTATTCTCAAATCTTGGGTCCCTGGTTCCAGAACACAGCTTCTAGAACCTCTACAAGAGATTCGTCCTTCAACAACACAGTCAGATGCGTGCAGTTCTTGCTTTCTCCAGCCTGGTGCCTGCCAGCCAAGAAAGTCAAGGATGATAGGATTTGTAGTCTAAAATATCAGCTGGCATCAGCTGGTTTTCTCTGACCGGCACAAAGGAGTTTGTCACATGCCACACACAAAAGGAAGATAAGGGCACTTACTAAGCCAGAGGTGGATGTGGTAAAGGAAAAAACGGCCCAGGACTTGATCCAAAGCTCTGTTCATTTTTAGACCAGCTGGCACGCCCATCAGCCACTGCAGGAGGTTCTGGAGCTGCTGGGCGATATGCTGCCGAAAAGGAAGAGATTACCAGCATCAGTGGAAAATAGCTTGTAAAGCAGAGCTTTTCAACCAGTGGTACGGGTACCACCTGTGGTACATTGGCACCTGGCAGGTGGTACGTGACCATCCCAGAAAAGTGATAGCGGGGGAGAGGAATGAGCTGAACCGGTGGCAGCACCACACAAGCCTGAGCGAGAGATGGCTGGAGCTGCAGGGCTGTCAGGGCTCAGCGGAAGCGCCAGGATCAGCGCCAGGCTCCAGCTGGAGCTCTGCACTGATCCTGACGCTTCTGCTGAGCCCTGAAGAAGCATCGATCAGCTGGAATGTTGCAGCATCTCCAGGGTCTTGTGATTTACATTCAGATGCTTGGCAACTGATTCATATTTATGATGGTCACAGTGTCCCAGGGTCATGTGAAGTGACCAAAACCTGCTGCAACCACCCAGAAGACGGGGAGGGGGAATAAAAACCACACACACCCCCAACCCACCCCCGCTGCCAATGCTCAACAGAAATGCTCACAACAATGGAAACCTCGGACAGGAGGAAGAGTGCCGCCGGGTGGGCTGGCAGGTGTCTTGCTCGGCTGTGGCTTGGGGGGCACTTTTTTCAGTGCCATTGTAACTTCGAACAGTCACTAAGCGAACTGTTGTATGTCGAGGACTACCTGTACTTTATCACTTTTTTCCTTTTTGGGGGGGGTCATCAAGTTTTTGACACCTTGCTAGGTGACTGGTGGTACTCGGATACTGCCATATCCTAAAAGTGGTACAATGGGTGAAAAGGTTGAAAAGCCCTGTTTAAAGGATAAAGGGTGATTTTCAGAAAAAGCTAAGAGATCCTGAATGATTTTATTCCCTTTTTACTCATGGAAAGAAAATGCATCGGAAGCATCAAATACTGTGTTTCTCAACCATGGCAACTTTAAGATATGCAGACTTCAACTCCCAGAATCCCCCAACCAGCCATATCTCAAAGTTGCTAAGGTTAAGAAACACCGATCAATGGATTTAAATCCCACTGTGATCTTCGCCGGCCAGATTTTGTTTTCTGCATGCACGTATACAGGACTAGCCGTCATTAAACCACGATAGCACGTTAGGATGCTTTTTCTCAGCCTGGGTTGGGAGAAAGGATGACTTTTAGCGCCCAGTGGCTTGGGGCTAAGGAGCGTTAATGGGAACGGAAACTAGAGAGGCAGGGGAATGGAGAGCAAAGGAATGTCATTTTACACGAGGGATGTAATATTTTTTTATCCGTACTTGGCTACGGATCACAAGTTCTTATGATTGATGGACTGAAAGGTCTTGTATGTATTTGCCACAGGGCTTTTAGCAATCAAAAGCTGCAAGAATTCATTATGGGAATAACAACCGCAGCCATCACAACAAATCTTCTTCTCTCTGGTGGCTGGCCGGGCTCTCAGTTAATTCAATATCATGGCCAACTTCCATCAGAGAGAGAGAGAGATATATATATATTTTGCTTAAAATGGGTAGCGGTGATGCTTTTATAAAACAATGAACAATGTAAAGCTGCCTGAGTGAAGCATTTTTGTGGTAGGAACATTCTGAAATTCCTGATGGCTGTGGCTCTCTGTGTTAGTCCACAGTGACATTGTGGTCACGCCGGCTTTGGGTGCAGTCCAGGAGAAATACTTGGTCCTGGATCAGAGGGAAAGAAATCTGAAGTAGCTCAGGCTTTGCAAGGATTAAGTGGATCTGATATCAATAGAAAAGCTCCAAGATGGAAACAAAACCAAACTGGCTAACGGGACACAAGCTATTAGAAAGTTCTCCTACCCATGCTCCACTGAAGAGAAGGGGGAGGGGGGGGGAAGGAGCCTATGTCTTTGAACCAGCATCTAAGCCAGTGTTTCTCAACCTTGGCAACTTTACGATGTGCGGACTTCAACTCCCAGAATTCTCCAGCTAGCATTGCTAGCTGGAGAATTTTGGGAGTTGAAGTCCGCACATCGTAAAGTTGCCAAGGTTGAGAAACACTGATCTAAGCCATGATTGCTTACTAGATATGAAAGCTGGTGTGCTCTCCGTTGCAGCTCTTCCACTAAAGGATAGTCAGAAGGCAGCAGAGACGGGGAGGATGAGTGAGTCACCCCGACACCCATCTGGAGTGGACACTAACTGCATGCACACATGTCAAGCCAGGGAGAATTTAAATTAAAATTTGCTAGGCAAGCTGCAGTGGCCTAATTCCCAGGGTCAGACTTACAACCCAGCCACAAGATGGTTCAGCTGAGTGTGTGAACCAGGCCGTTGCTTCCTTTTTAAGAGACCTCCCAACATATAGGTAGTCCTCGACTTAACGATCGTTCGCTTAGTGACCGTTCAAAGTTACAACGGCACTGAAAAAAGCGACTTGTGACCAGTTTTCACACTTACGACCATTGCAGCCTCCCCATGATCGCACGATCAACATTCAGACGTTTGGCAACTGGCTCATATTTGGGACAGTCTGCAGTGTCACGGGCTCTGTGTGTGTGTGTGTGTGTGGGTGTGGGTGGGTCACATGATCCGCTTTTGCCACCTTCTGACAAGCAAAGTCAATGGGAAAGCCAGATTCACTTAACAACCGTGTTACTAAGTTGATTCACTTAATAACTGGGGCAAGAACAGTTGCAAAAGGGGGCAAAGCTCGCTTAACAACTGTCTCACTAAGCCAGGGGTAGTCAACCTTGGCTCTTTTATGACTCGTGGACTTCAACTCCCAGAATTCCTGAGCCAGCTTAGCTTAGCTGGCTCAGGAATTCTGGGAGTTGAAGTCCACGAGTCATAAAAGAGCCAAGGTGGACTACCCCTGCACTAAGCAATGAAAATGTTGGGCTTGGTGATTGTGGTCGTACGTCGAGGACTACCTGTACACCCTCCACCAAGTTGAGTTAAAACCTCAGCGTTATGACGCTCAAGGAAAACTTACGTCTGCCATTGGGAGGAGGCCACTGGCAAGATAACCGATCCAGTTCATTTGATACAACCAGGACATGAGCAGGACACCCAGAGCCACGTCGATGAGGAGAGAGATAAAGATGTTGGCTTTCCTGCGTTGGGAAAACATTGTTTGCCATGTCAGGTAGAGTTAAACGCTCCTCAAAATTCAGACACGTTCAAGCTTCTCTTGTAGGGTGAGAACCAAGTTTACACGTTGCATGCACCGTCGTTTGTGGAATAAGGGTCAAGCACCGGGGAAATCATGAGATCCAGGCAGTTCAACGGTGTATCAAGATTGATTGTAAGCTTAAGGTCTCTACAAGAATCTGAACTATTGACAGCCAAGGGAAATTAGCGGGAGATAAGAATAGAAAGAATTCAAAGGGAGCTGCACACACAGGGATTCACGACTGTTGGTGGGCACACAGGGATTCATGACAGATGACACGTTTGACTCCTCCATCGGGCTCAGCCTGGCCATCTACAATAAGACGCCGTCGGCTAGATTTTCCAAACACGCCTGACCACAACTGTAGGGATGCTATGACGGTTGTAACTGTAAGGAACAGATGCAAGTCACCTTTCTCAGTGCCCTTGTAACTTTGAACGTCACTAAGCGAATGGTGAGAAGTCAAAGGCTACCTACAAAGGGAAAAGTAGAGTCCAGGAGTTCTTCAAAGGCATCTGAGGTTTCGGCAACTGTGGAGGGGCAGGTGCTGCACAGCTATTCTCTACAGCTGTGCCAGGGTTGGCATGCCAGCCTGTTTCCTGGGCAACTCTCTCTTGCTGGATAGAAATGGAAGTTGTGTGGGCAGTGGTACAGGAGCAGCAGCAGGGGGGGGGTGTAAAAAGCCCCAAATTTCCAGTCCAGTGTGAGTGTTTCAGGTGCAGCATCATAAAAATATAAACACAATGGAACAGAATGTTTTCAGAAACAATGAGAAGCGTGCCCACACGCACAGCTATATTTTGGGAAACAGAATGTTCTATCCTCACTTATAAAAAAACCTTCTCACTCCCTCCCTTACACACACACACACACACACACACACACACACACACACACACACAAAGACAATACCACAATATCAAGAGAGTCTCTTTTTTTTCCCACCCCAGGGAGCTCTTTGCATATAAACCTACTGGGACACCAAAATGCCTTAGGCTGTTCACTCCTCTCTTTCTCTCTCTCTTTCTCTCTTTTTTTTCTCTCTCTCTCTCCCTCCCTCCCTCTCCCTTTCTCTTTCTTTCTTTCTTTCTTTCTCTTTCTTTCTTTCTTTTTCTTTCTTTCTTTCTTTCTCTCTTTCTCTTTTTTTTTCTCTCTCTCTCCCTCCCTCCCTCTCCCTTTCTCTTTCTTTCTTTCTTTCTCTTTCTTTTTCTTTCTTTCTCTCTCTCTTTCTCTTCTCTCTCTCTCCCTCCCTCTCCCTCTTCTTTCTTTCTTTCTTTCTTTCTTTCTTTCTTTCTTTCTTTTTCTTTCTTTCTTTCTTTCTTTCTTTCTTTTTCTCTCTCTCTCTTTCTCTGTCTCTCTCTCTCCCCCTCACTCCCTCTTTCCCTCTTGTACTACCATGACGAGAAAGCTGACATTTTCTCCCTACGACTTTTATCCAAACCACCGTGTCTTGTTACAGCTGGAAACAAAGGCGTGCAATTTCTTAAAACGAGCCAGGAGCAAATTTTATTTTTAGACGCCAACCTGCTTTCAGCGGTTCCAGCTTGCGTAATAGATGGATGCCTTTGGAAAGTGCCTTTACCTCCCTGCAGGTGGAAAGTAAGGGACGGGGCACCCCCCCCCCAAACTCAAGATTCATGCCATCAAAGTAATGTAAGAGGAAATGATGGCTTCTTGTGCAACTTGAATTGGACTATGGTGAGGAATCCCTGCGAGTTAAAAGCATTTCGAAGAACACGTTCCAGTTAGGTTTGGGGGTTAATCAGGCTGGTTGCATTTTTGGGAGTGGATAAAACCAAAATGTTTCCTTAGCTTGCCGACTAGAGGATTCTTGGGAACTGAAGTCCACGCGTCTTAAAGCTGGCCAGGTTAAGAAGCACCGTTCCCCTCTCTCAATTTATCTAAGCCAGGGGTCTTCAAACCTGGCCCTTTGATGACTTGTTGACTTCAACTCCCAGAATTCCTCAGCCGGGCACGCTGGCTGAGGAATTCTGGGAGTTGAAGTCCACAAGTCATCAAAGGGCCAAGTTTGAAGACCCCTGCTTTAAGCCATCAAACATCCAATCTCTTCGTCAGGGTAAGAGTCCCAATTCAACCATCCCTGACAGATGACATTGGTTTTTCTTCCATTTAAATCCGTTATTTAATATCCGGCAATCAGGAGTCACAGAGGACACCCTGGTCCACTTCGATTTTAAGACAAGTGGACTTTAATTTATTCTAAAATTTCCCAGCTGACCATGCATGGCTGGCTGGGGAATTCTGGGAGTTGAAGTCCACAAGTCATCAAAGGGCCAAGTTTGAAGACCCCTAATCTAAGCCCCAAAAATGGAGGGGTGGGGGAGAAGATGGCCCTTTGGGTATTCCAGAGTAGGCTTTTTGGATCTCAACAGTCCAATGCTAGCAAGTGGATTAGATAATGCCCCCCAATGCAAATATCATGCAGGTAGTCCTTAAGTTACAACCATTCATTTAGCGACCGTTCAGCGTTGCAATGGCACTGGAAAAGGTAACGTACGATTGCTCCTTGCACTTAGGACTGGTGCAGCATCCCCGTGATCATGGGATCAAAAGTCAGGCGCTTACTTACACGGATGCAGCATCCCAGGCTCACATGATGGCCACTTGTGACCTTCCCAGCCGACAAGCAAAGTCAATGGGAGGAAGACGGATCGGCTTACCGAGCATGTGATTCTCTTAACAACTTCAACGATCCACTTAATAACCCGTGGCAAAAAAAAAAGCCAATAAAACCGGGATGAGTCCCTTGACAATCGCCTTGTTTAGCAATGGAAGTTCTGAGCCCAGTTGCGGTTGTAAGTAAAAGGTTACCGGTAATATCTTTGGATATCAGTCACGTAACCTGCCAGGATGGAGAATTCTTCTGTCAAAGCAAAAATATCTGATGCTCAGGGGAGGGGGATTCAGATTTGGGCTTAATGTCCTGGTTCCGACAGAGGAAACTCTTCAAAGAATTTCGAGGCGTTGTTTACCTTAAAGAATCTTTATTTGAGAAGCATAGCATCGGCATGTACATAGCCGAAGCCAAACTCTGAATTCCCCTCCCCTGAGCACATAGTATCAAGCACAATTCCCTCCTCTAATTTGCAGTCATAAATCACATCTCCCAATTAGTTTGAAATGCAGGCTTTCCCTCCAGTTCTCCAGCCCGCCAATTCTTATCATCTCTTATTTCAAAAATCTTGGTTCTCACCCTAGTTACAGTATTGTTGTCTAACTAAACTCCCATGCACATTCCTTCTCCTCCCCCCAGTATCATCTAATTCTAACTCCAATTCCAAGAGTAAAACATAAGAAGGAAAATGGTTGCATCTCCATATGTTGTCAACCCCCCCAAAAAATCCGGTTAGCAGCGCTGACATCTTCATTTCGTGCTGCGGAATTCTTACCTCATCACCTGCGCTTGATCTGAAGCTGCCTTTTCACTGCTGATGACCTGGAGATGCTGGAACCGATGCCTCAGCTGCTCGTAGGTGGAAAGTTTGCTCCAGACGAAAGACAGGGGCCAGAATGTCAGTGCCCTGGAGAAAAGACAGACGGACACCCCAATAAAACCATCTGGCTGCTAAGGAAGGATCACCCTGCCTCCCGTGACTTCCGCTTCTCAGAAAGCAACAGAGTACTATTATTATTATTATTATTATTATTATTATTATTATTAATAATAATAATAATAATAATAATAATAATAATAATAATAATAATAATAATAAAGTTGGAAGGGACCTTGGAGGTCATCTAGTTCAACCCCCTGCTCAGGCAGGAAAGCCTATACCATTTTGGACAAGTGACTGTCCAGTCTCTTCTGAAAAACTTCCAGTGTTGGAGCATTCACCGCTTCTGGAGGCAGGTTGTTCCATTGTTTAATTGTTCTAACGGTCAGGAAGTTTCTCCTTAGTTCTAGATTGCTTCTCTCCTTGATTAGTTTCCACCCCTTGCTTCTTCTCCTGCCTTCAGGCGCTTTGGGGAATAGCCTGACTCCCTCTTCTTTGTGGCAGCCCCTGAGATATTGGAACACTGCTCTCATCTCCCCCCTCGTCCTTCTCTTCATTAAACTAGTCATACCCAATTCCAGCAGCCGTTCCTTATATGTTTTAGCCTCCAGACCTCTAATCATCTTTGTTGCTCTTCTCTGCACTCTTTCTAGAGTCTCAACCTCTTTTTTACATCATGGCGACCAAAACTGGATGCAGCATTCCAAGTGTGGCCTTACCAAGGCATTGTAAAGTGGTATTAATACTTTACTTTTGGGGCTAGGCAACGGCATTTTACAGGCAGCCCTCCACTTACAACAGTTCGTTTAGTGACTGTTCAAAGTTACAACGGCACTGAAAAAAAGTGACTTATGGCCGTTTTTTACACTGATGACCGTTGCCGCATCCTCGTGGTCACGTGATCAAAATTCAGATGCTCGGTAACTGATTCACGTTTAGGCCAGAGTCCCAGGGTCATTTTTTGTGACCGTCTCACGAGCAAAGTCAATGGGGAAGCCAGATTTACTTAACAACCGCATGACTAATTTAACAAACGCAGCGACTCACTTAACAGTTGTAAAAGGGGGCAAAACTCATTTAACAAACGTCTCCCTTAGCAACAAAAATTTGGGGCTCAATTGTGGTCATAAATCCAGGACAACCGAGAGCTGACTGTAACAAACGAATGCCTAAATCAAAACTTTACTCCCCGACATCCTAGCTTTCCACAGGCTGGGAATTTTGGGCCGGAAGACCGGTTAAAATATGCCATTGCTCACTTGGACAATAAACTGGCATAGCTCTGACAGTTCAATTCCCTATGACATTTCAAAATTAACGGTGCGCTTTTACAGGCATCAGGGTGTCATCTCCTGAAGGCTAATTACAAGGGGTTATTTCCTCCCAATGCCTTCTAATAAATTATGTCCACAAGTGTAATAAAGAGCAACTGCTGGAGCTAAAACCGGCGCTTGGAAGTGACAAGTGCAGCCTCTTCATTAACACGTTTTCAAGGGATCTAGTATTTAATATCAGGAGACAAGAACAGAGATGCTGGATAAAACGCTGCGGTCGGTAAAATCAACTTACACAAGATATATACAAAGCAATTAGAACAGTGGTTCTCAACCTTTTTAATGCCGCGACCCCAACCAGTTGTAAGTCGAGGAGTAAACCGGTCGTAAGTCGAGGACTAAACCGGTCGTAAGTCGAGGACTACCCAACCGGTCGTAAGTCGAGGACTTTCCCTGCCCGGGAGCGCCGCGCATGCGTGGTTCCGCCCCCTGCGCCGGCCGAGGCATAGCTGGCAAGCGGCAGAGACGGAGCAGGCTGACCACCAGCTGGCCCAACCCAAGGGAGGTAAGGCACCTGCCGGAAAAGGGGGGGAAAATGGCGGACAAAAAAAATGGCGGACAGCCTTGCTTGGCGACCCCCGTGAAATGGTCGATCGACCCCAAATGGGGTCCCGACCCACAGGTTGAGAACCACTGAATTAGAAGATGTACTTGCTTCCAAGAACTCAGTGGATTGCTGCAGGATGTATACTGCAAGAAATACATGTATAAGCTTTGCGTGCAAAGGTATCGCCATCCCTTGTTCAATCCACCCTCCATATTCTTCAATCCAATTTCAAAGAACAAGAATTGCAACAGTTCCAGAGTCCAGATATTCCCACTGGGATTTAGATCTGGGATTTACTGCAGAAAAGAGAGCAAAGATGATTAGGGGACTGGGGGGCTAAAACATATGAAGAACGGTTGCTGGAATTGAGTTTAGTCTAGTCTAGAACTAGGGGTGACATGATGGCAGTGTTCCAATAGTTGAGGGGCTGCCACAAAGAAGAGGGGGACAACCTATTTTTCAAAGCACCCGAAGGCAGAACAAGAAGCAATGGATGGAAATTAATCAACCTAGAACTAGGGAGAAATTTCCAGACAGTGAGAACAATTAACCAGTGGAACGGCTTGCCTTCAGAAGTTGTGGGTGCTCCATCACTGGAGGCTTTTAAGAAGAGACTGGACAGCCACTTGTCTAGAATGGTATAGGCAGGGTCTCCTACTTGAGCAGGGGGTTGCACTAGAAGACCCCAAGCTCCCTTCCAACTCTATTATTCTGTTATCTCCTCCTGTTATTATCTATCATTAAACCTACAAAGCCAGGAGCATCCAGATGATAGACGGTGCAGAGGGCCAATAGCGCAGGTGTCTTCAACAGTCACACTTTTTAGTTGTCACCTGGTCGGTGCTACGTCTATCAAAATTAAAGCCATGGTGGTGCAGTGGTTAGAATGCAGTATTGCAGGCTAACTCTGCATTCCAACAGCCAGGAGTTCGATCCTGACCAGCTCAAGGTTGACTCGGCCTTCCATCCTTCCGAGGTCGATCAAATGAGGACGCAGATTGTTGGGGGCAACAGGCTGATTCTGTAAACCGCTTAGAGAGGGCTGTGAAGCACTGTGAAGCGGTATATAAGTCTAAGTGCTATTGCTATTGCCCTTCCTTCCTTCCTTCCTTCCTTCCTTCCTTCCTTCCTTCCTTCCTTTCCTGAACAGCTCAAGGTTGACTCGGCCTTCCATCCTTCCAAGGTGGGTAAAATGAGGACCCAGATTGTTGGGGGCAAGAGGCTGACTCTGTAAACCGCTTAGAGAGGGGCTATAAAGCACTGTGAAGCGGTATATAAGTCTAAGTGCTATTGCTATTGCCCTCCCTCCCTCCCTCCCTTCCTTTCCTTTCCTTTCCTTTCCTTCCTTCCTTCCTTCCCTGACCAGCTCAAGGTTGACTCGGCCTTCCATCCTTCCGAGGTCGATCAAATGAGGACCCAGATTGTTGGGGGCAACAAGCTGACTCTGTAAACTGCTTAGAGAGGACTGTAAAGCGCTATGAAGCGATATATAAGTCTAAGTATTATTGCTATTGCTATCACTCAGAGGCACCAGTAATAACCATGCAGCTGGTGAAGAAGCAAACAGACCTGTCCAGGGCAGCCCTCTGGGACCTTATACATTTTAGAAAGAGTTGTTTGCAGGTTAAAACCCAATTCCACACAACCTCTCTTCCTCTTATCCAATAAACAATCCTTGTCAAATGCAACGGAGGGACATTTTTTTTTTCTTAGCCTAGCTTGCCCGAGTAATCCCAGTTGGTTGCTGCTAACCTCTCAGGAGCAAAATGAACACCCCGCTACGGAATCCAAAGTGACAGAGGAAAGCTCATTTGAGCCAGCAGCTCATCCTGGAAAAAGTGAACTCAGAGACTCACTGAGATGCTGTTTCCTTTCATCTCTTATTTTGGAATTAACAATGGGAATGTAGAGGAAGAGAGCTGCCTAGGTCTACAGTGGCAAGGAATCGGAAAGAACCTGATAGACGTGTTTTACTCAAAGGCATCAGCTTTTTGTAAGCTGCAACCAGGCTCCTTCTGGCTGTAAATAATGGGACTGTATCTCATGCTAATAAAAATTTAAAGCACCAAGTAGCACGCCTGCCGTCTATTTCACTAGCGGCTAGAACCGTATGAAGATGTTATTTCTTTTTAATTGCCGAAGGTCTTTAAACTGTTAGATCTATTCAAGTTTTTTTTTATATAGAAGGGCATCCTGATTTGTTGATTAAAGAAACATTCAATCTTTCAGTTGATAAATATAGTGAAGTAAGTGGAAGGGTTTTTCAAACTCAGTCAGGCCAAACCTAATCACCATACGATGACAATGTTGGATTGACAAATAACAATCACAATTTCCTGACTGGTTTATGTTTAAACATAAATTAAACATATATTTAAGAATGTTTAAACATTCTTAAATATAGTAACACGTCTGCAAATTCTAGTGTGACGTCTCCTATGGCTCGTTGCTGGCTTAGGGGGCCTGACTCTTGATACAACCTGTGTACATACATAGACACTACATATACATATATATATATATACACACACACTAAAGTCTATTTCTATTACTTTCTGACAGTGAGGATAATCAGCCAGTGGAACAGCTTACCCCCAGAAATCGTGGGTGCTCCATCACTGGAGATTTTTAAGAGGAGACTGGACATTCACCTGTGTGAGTTGATACAGGTTCTCCTGCTTGAGCAGGGGGCTGGACTAGAAGACCTCTAAGATCCCTTCCAGATTCTATTCTATTCTATTCTAATTCTATTCTATTCCTGTTCTGTTCCGTTCCATTCCATTCCATTCTGCATTCCATTCTATTCTATTCTATTCTATTCTATTCTATTCTCATTCCATTAATTCTATTCTATTCTATTCTATTCTATTCTATTCTATTCTATTCTATTCTATTCTATTCTATTCTATTCTATTCTATTCTGTTCTGTTCCGTTCCGTTCTGTTCCATTCCATTCTGCATTCCATTCCATTCTCTATTCCATTCCATTCCTTATTCTATTCTATTCTATTCTATTCTATTCTATTCTATTCTATTCTATTCTATTCTATTCCATCCACTCCACTTATTCTATTCTATTCTATTCTATTCTATTCTATTCTATTCTATTCTATTCTATTCTATTCTATTCTATTCTATTCCTGTTC